ATCTTTAGACATAGCTCTGCCCATTGGGCTTGGGCATTCACTAATCTAATCTGTCTTCACGGTTAATTATTATAAACTTCAAAAAAAAATTAAGTTAATCTTAAAAAAAATAAAAAATAAATAAATAAAATGTTTTATAGTAGTAGTGGGTAGTCATTGTCTTGTTCCAGGAAGGTGGTCATTAATTTGGTCAACTTAGTAAATAGTCATTGTCTTGTTCCAGGTAGGTGGTCATTAATTTGGTCAACTCAAGGAGATAACTATTGTAGATTCCAAAATTGGATTTTTTCTTGGGCCGCCGAGGCTTCTTTAAAAAGAAATTGTTGATTTTGAAAAGATACCAATAATGCTGTAGGGAAACTCCATCTATATTTAATTCCATGTTTTCTCAGAATGCTGGTCTGAACGACAAATTCTTTCCTTGCCAGCCGGGTCGTCAAAGATAGATCTGAATACAACTTAATATCTTTAAATTGAGGATCTGTTATAACATTTTTTTTTGTGCCGACTGCATAATTAAATTTTTAATATAGTTGTTAGAAAAACAAACAATGATGTTCCTAGGTATGTCTGCCGACAGATTCTTTGGTATATGTAGCCTGTGGTATCGCTCAAATGGGAATTCTCCAAGTGACAATTCAGGAATTAGATTTTGAAAAAAAAAATTAAAAATTGGTCTAGATGCTCATAGTTAATAGATTCAGGAACTCCTCTCAATTTTATATTATTCCTTTGAGATCTGTCTTCCAAATCGGTAACCTTTGTCTCTAATGCTTTAATCTTCTCGTCCAATTGATTGTACTTTTAAAGTTAAGTCTTCGTTAGATGTTTGAATTTTCTGGAGAGTATCTGCCTGATTTTGCAGTATAGAGGATATATTAGCTATTTCCAGCCTTAATATATTGGAATTATCTTCCAGATCTTGTTTTAATTTCAGGTATAGAGCTTCCAAAGCTTCATTAAGAGTTTGTTGGCTGGTATATTGGGGAGTTGCCGAGAAGGATTCTGGAATTAATGAGGCTGATTCTCTACGATCTCCCAGAGATGATCTTTTAATTAATGATCGCTCTTGAGATTTAGGTGAATAGAAGGAATTTATATTTTTATCCATATTAGCCGTTGTTACTTTATCTTTATCATTATCTCTTTCGGGAGACATTACTGCTTTTCTTTCCCTTCTATTCTCCTTTAAGGCAACACCCAGAGGAAAAATAGTATTGAGAGTAGTATTGACTAAAAAATACTTGATTGCAATCACAAAATCAAACCCCTCCAATAAGTGGAGCCTTATTTAAATGTAGATATCTATCTTCCAAAAAAAAAAAAAAAGTGATTTATATCTGTCAATCTGTCTCACTATTGAAACAGTCGCAATTGTAGCTCTCTCTCAGCAATTTGTTCAATCTGTCTCACTAGTGAAAAACAGTTAAAATTGTGTCTCTCTCACAGCAGCAAGACGTTAGGGTTCATTGTATAATATACAGTATCAGAGTCATTGCTAATTAGTTGCAAGCCATTGCCTCCCTCCAACTCTCCTGCTATTGATGAACTGATATTCGCCTCGAAAGTTCAGAACTCCATTACAGCATTTAAGCATTAAAGCAATATGTATCCCCAGCAGTCCAGAATCCTTATAGCCTCAGGAATATATGCAGCAAGTGTACAGCAAGTGTATATGTCTTACAAGCTCCCCTGTTATACCTTGAGCAGTTTGGCATTCAATAGCCAGCAAACAACAAACAGCATACCGCTTGTGTCTTCATCATTCAGCAGCATTAGCTCTCAACACTCAGCTGTTCTTATGTGCTGGACGCCGCTTCTCCTCCTCACACCAGAGCCTCTCGACCGCGGGAGCGTGCGCAATCACGTGTCACGTCATCACCCCCCCCCCAATTTAAAATTTCTTATCTATTGCTCTGTAGATTCTGCAGGAGCTTCCTGCATGTAAATAAAGTTCAATTTTCAGAACTGGAGATAAAAAAATTAAAGTAAGTTACATCTGATTGAAAATGAAACTATTTTGTTTTTATGCAGACTGTGTCACTGACTGTCAAGAGAGGTGTGACTACGTCTGCATAAACAGAAACACAAGTGATTTAAGGCCTAAATAACAGAGAATTGAGCAGTGAGAATGCAGGGACTTGATCTACACACCAAAACTGCTTCATTAAGCTAAAGTTGTTTTGTGACTGTAGTCTCCCTTTTATTTGATTGTAAAATTACTCTAATGTTACTTTTTTTTTTCTTTTTTGCTTTTACCACTTATCTAACGTTATTCATAAATGTATTATTAAAATAAAATGGTCACTGTAAGGACACTGAGCTAAAACAGACAATGCAGGTCTTACATTGAGAGTACTGTACTGAGGAAAATATTAAATAAATAATTTGTAGCAAATAAATATGGAAAAAATATGCCCAATATAAACCTCTGAATGTGATCATAACACAGATTGCTTGCCTAACCTTTGCACTGCAGAACCTTTTATAAATAAGTGTTTAGAGGGAACATTGACAGTCACATTTGATTTATTAGTCCATTCTACGACTGAATGACATATGTATAGATCTACTTTTCATTTACACATTTGTTTTCTTGCCTTGGATAAAATAATTAAGAAAACTCCAAAATAACTTTCAGACAAATTTACTTGTGATCGACATGTACTGGAAAGTAGAAAATAAAGAGTTACCCAAAGGGACATAACATCGGACTGACTGTTTGTGAGGCTGCCATACAGAGAGTTTTCAAGATCAATACTTTAATCAGTCAGTTTGTTTTTAATTTCTGCTTCACAGCCCAGTCCCGATGTATCTGCGCTTCAAATGTCCACATTAATGTCAAGCCCAGGTCATTTAAAGTCAGGGAGAAGGAAACACACATAATCGGGTAGTTTGGAGAAGAAACTTAATGAAAGTAAACAGAAGGAAGTGATTGTGTTTCATTTTTGGGGGGGGGATTACATACACCCATGTTCTTTCTACAGTTTTAAGACATTGTGACTTGAAAACTAGTATATTTCTGGAATCACTCTGTCTTTGAGTTGGTAAGAGCATGTAGAGAATCATTGTTTGCTGTGTAAAGTAAAAATGCTTTAACATTAAAAATGTCCTTCTTCAAGAAGAGGCATTTGACACCTGAATTATATGTGCACCGGGATCCTCCATCCTATACTTCTTTGTGAAGGTGCTATTGTTAATTATGCACATAGGGATACAAGAAAAGCACACTGTGGTGGATTGCACTGTGGTAGGCACAAACCTCTGCTCATTTAAAGGTCATAAGGAAAATAAGAAAGTAGGATGGGTGTTTCACAAAATATTTTTTTCCTGTAAAATTTCTTTGATCATCCATTTATTTGGCCATCCTTAGGTCAAAGCAGTTGGTCTTGAAATTCACAACAGTCGCCAGACTTCCACCCATAGGGTTGGAAAATCCCTCTTCCCCAACAATTTTTTTTTTTTAGAAGTAATACATTAAAGGACCACTATAGTCACCCAGACGATTTTAGCTCAATGAAGTGGTCTGGGTGCGAGTTCCCTCAGGTTTTAACCCTTCAGATGCAAACATAGCTGTTTCAGAGAAACGGCTATGTTTACATTTTGGGGTTAATCCAGCCTCTAGTGGCGGTCTTCTGGACAGCCACTAGAGGCACGCACACCTGCGAATTTCGCCTCCATCACGAAGAGTGTCCATAGGAAAGCAATCGGCTCCAGTGACGTCTGACGGGGGAGCTGATGTCGGTGGGGGAGGAGAGGTCACCAGCACTGAGGGAGTCCGGTGCTAGATTAAGGTAAGCTGCTGAATGGGGTTTTAACCCCTTCAGCGCCACGGAAGGGGGACCCTAAGGGTGGGGGCACCCTCAGGGCACTATAGAGTCAGGTAAACAGCTTTGTTTTCCTGACACTATAGTGATCCTTTAAGTAATAGTGTCTATTACAAATGACAAGGAAAATTGAAAGAGCCCACCACACACTAAGAGGGGATCGTTTTGGTATGTATACAATTTTTCCTTTTTTGTTGAAGATTGTTTTTTCACCTTCTGGAGCATATAATTTTAATCAGTGGCTCATGATCAAGGAAGGTAGTTGTAGTCCAATTCTGTAAGTTAGGTCAAAGGTAAGGACAGAAGAGCAGGATTAAGATCCAGGAAAAATTTATGTTTTTTCACCAACTTATTTTTGGCATCCTTCGGTCAAAACAACAGTGGATCTTGTTCAATATAAGGCTCTTGGTCAAGGAAGGACATGCAGTTTATCAAACGTTAGGACAAGTTAAGCAGGATTCCCCTCAGTGGTTACAAAAAAAAAATATTTATGGGATATTAACACAGATAACCCAAACAGATCCTCCTGTCTTGTCTTAGCAAACTTCATTTAGTTTATTATATATTTCCCTTTTATTTCCAGCTTTGAAATGTAAGTATGGTTATTGATGTGTGACTATAACACAACTATGTATAAAGTGTTAAGATTAAATAATTCCAATTTAAATTGATTTCTGTTCTGTTTTTTAATTATAAATTGCTTCCTAATTGTTTCAAATTTCAATGCAATAATGAATTGTCTTTCTGATAGATGAGTAATTACATTTATTTTGTGTTCATAAATATTGCAAATAGCTTTTTGAAGAATGAAATAATATATTTATTTACCATTTGGTTTTCTAAATTTGGAGTTTGTTTTCTTTTAATTTTTAATCACTTCACCTACAAATAATCCCATATTGTCATTAGATAATATTATATTCTCATTTCCATTTGGGTTACGTTAGAATTTGGTAATCACACAGTAACTCGTGTAGGTGTCATTTATAGGCCCCCAGGGCAAATAGAAGAGTTAGATAATCTACTAGTTAAGGAAATAGCTAAAATGACAATGAAGGGGGAAGTTATCATGGGCTTTAATCTTCCTGATATAAACTGGAAAACCAAAATAGCTGCTTGTGCCAGGAGCACACATATTCTAAATACCCTACTGGGATTGTCTCTTAAACAAGTCGTTAAGGAGCCAACTCATAAAGAGGCCATACTAGATTTAGTGTTAACAAATGGAGATTTGGTATCACATATTACCGTAGGTGAAAGTTTAAGATCCAGCGATCATCAGTCAGTGTGGTTTAATATAAGAACAGTGACTGAGACACACCACACAAAAACAAAAGTTTTAGACTTTAGAAAAACAGACTTTTCTAAAATTAGAATATGTGTAAAGGGGTCATTATCAGACTGCAGCAGTTTAAATGGAGTCCAAGAGAAATGGAATTATTTAAAAGTTGCACTGCTGACGGCAATAGAAAATTGCATTAGGCTTGTCCGTAAAAGCAAAAAAAAAAAAAGAAACCAATGTGGTACTCCACAGATGTGGCCAAAATAATAAAAAACTAAAAGTTAGCATTTAGTAATTATGAAAAAAAAAACAGAGTGAGGAAGATAGACAGATCTATAAGATTAGGCAGAAAGAGGCTTAGCAAGTTATAAGAGCTTCCAAATCACACACAGAATAGAAAATATCACAGTCAGTAAAAAGGGGACAACACATTTTTTTTTTTTTATAAATTCTTTATTTCCGGTATTTTTAAGGTGAGGTGTAGGGTACAGAATAGAGAAAGGGATAGGGTGGTAGTCACATCCAGTAATTTGCAGTACGCATTACATTTTATCAATGCCATTGTGGTTTATAGCAAGACCTCAGTTTGGTTCTCGGGATTGAGTTGTTCAAGGTTTTGTTCTGTACGTCTCGTGTGGTGGTAGTCTTATGTTCGTCAGTGGTATTGTCTGTGTGGGTGGATGCGTGTTTGTTCTTCTGGTAGTTCGTTCGTTATGTTTGTGTTTTCTTTAGTGGCTTGTGGGACTGGGGTTGGAGTGTCCGTTTTGTAGGTTGGTGTTGCCAATGTGGGGGTGTGCATGTTCCCCTCACTTAATTGGATATTAAGTTTGTCTCGTCCTGGTGGGGTGTGTCGTGTGGGGAGGTAGCCAGCTCTCCTGCATTTGCTTAATGTTATTGTCTTACAAGTGTCTCTAGTGCCGGTGGTCTCGTTAGAGTAAGTGTGGTGTTTGTCTTTTCATGAGTTGGCCTCTCCAGGCTTGTGGGTTTGCCTTAGCGTGTGGGGTTGTCGTTTTTTTTTGGGGGGGGGAGGAGGAGGGTGTGTAGGGTTGGGGGGGTTGAGGTGAAGTGTGTGGGGTTCCGGTATGTTCTAGGTCGGTTGTTTTTTTTGGGGGGGGAGGTTGTACCTCGTTCCCGGGTCCTCCGCTCACAGTGTTGGTAGGTGGTGTGTTATCCATGGGTCCCAAATTTTATGATAGTGTAGGAAACAACACATTTTTTAGATAAAAAATGAGAATATGAAAGTAAAACAAGGATTAGTTAGATTGAAAACAAAAAAGGAATGTATGTAGAAGAGGATAAAGGTCTAGCTGACTGCCTCAATGAATATATTTGTTCAGTGTTTACAGATGAAAATGAAAGAAAGGGGCTCAGTTAGGAAAAAGGACAAATGAGTAATTTGTTACATGTGAGTTTACAGAGGAAGAGGTTCTATTTCAACTGTCAAAAGTAAAGACAAATAAGTCAATGGGACCTGATGGAATACACCCAAAGTTATTAAAAGACCTTAGTGGTGAGAGATACAGATTTATTTAACCAATCATTGTTAAAAGGAGTAGTCCCAGAAGATTGGAAGTTAGCAAATGTTGTGCCCATTCACAAGAAAGGTAGTAGGGAGGAGTCGGGCAACTATAAACCAGTAAGCCTTACTTCAGTAGTGGGGAAAGTAATGGAAACCATGTTAAAGGATAAGATTGTTGGTCAAAAAATCACATGGATTTCAAGCTCAGAGACTACATGGGTTTACTTCAGGGAAATCATACCAAAGTAATCTTGATTTTTTTTGATTGGGTAACTAAAATAATTGATCAGGGTGGTGCAGTAGACATTGCTAACATAGATTTCGTTAAGGCTTTTGACACTGTTGCACATAGAAGGCTTATCAATAAACTGCAATCTTAAAGTTTGGATTCCAATATTGTTGAATGGTAAGACCAGGGCCGCCATCAGGGGGTGACAACCATAACATTTGTCATGGGCCCGGCGGCCCTGGGGGGCCCGGCCGCCCGGGCCCCACATGTAGCGGCCGAATTGCCGCCGGTGCACTTACACCGGGGCCCGCACGCTGATGGGGCCTATCGGGTAGCCCATGCACTTAGGACCACCCGATGGGTCCTGTATCTTCAGGGGCCCGGTCAGTGCTGTGATATAGCGTGACCGGGCCCCTTTAAAAAAAAGCAGCTGCAGCAAGTGCTGCTGGGAGGAAGTGGTCACTTCCTCCCAGCTCACTCCGTGCGGGAGGAGCGCACGCCCGGCAGTGAGGGAGAGTCAGCCCCAGCCACCCTCCTGCAACGAAAAGGTAAGAAACAGGAGGGTGGCTGGAAAATGAGCTGTATGTGTGTGTGTGTATGTCTGTATGTCTGTCTATCTGTATGTCTGTCTGTATGTATGAATGTCTGTCTGTATGTATGTCTGTATGTATGTCTGTATGTCTGTCTGTCTGTCTGTCTGTATCAATGTATGTCTGTCTGTCTGTCTGTCTGTATCAATGTATGTATGTCTGTCTGTCTGTCTGTATCAATGTATGTCTGTCTGTATGTATGCATGTATGTCTGTATGTATGTATATATGAATGTATGCATGTATGTATGCCAGTATCAATGTATGTCTGTATGTCATTATGTATATATGTATGTCAGTATGAATGTATGTCTGCATATCATTATGAAAGTATGTCTGTGTGTAAGTGTTTATGGATGTCTGTATGCATGAATGTAGGTATGTATGTATGTCTGTCAGTATGTCTGTATATATGCATGTATGTCAGTCTGAATGCATGTATGTATGTCTGTATGCCATTATGAATGTATGTATGTATGCCATTATTAATGTATGTGTGTATGGATGTCAGTGTCTGTATGTCTGTCAGTGTGTATGTATGTGTCTTTATGTCCTCATGCATGTGTGTCTGTATGTATGTTAGTATGTGTCTGTCTGTCACTATGTATGCCTGTGTGTCTGTATATGTGTGTATGTCTCAGTATGTATGCCTGTATGTGTGTCTGTTAGTATGTATCTGTGTCCTTTTGTATCAGTGTGTGTGTTTGTGTCTGTGTGTGTATTCCTGTGGGCGGTATTTGAAAGCGGACCCTGTGGGCGGTATTTGGAGGCGGGCCCCAGGGGGCCCAGACCCTGAGCTGAGTTAGGGGCCCCAAAATTTCTGGTGGTGGCCCTGGGTAAGGCAGTGGCTTAGTGACAGGCAACAGAGGGTTGTAGTCAATGGAGTATATTCAAGCATGGTCTTGTCACTAATGGGGTACCTCAGGGATCTGTACTTGGCCCCATTCTCTTTAATATTTTTATTAGTGATATTGTAGAAGGTCTTGATGGTAAGGTATTTCTTTATGCTGATGATACTAAGATATGTAACAGGGTTGATGTTCCAGGAGGGATAAGCCAAATGGCAAATTATTTAGGTAAACTAGAAAAATGGTCAGAGTTGTGGCAGCTGACATTTAAGGTGGATAAGTGCAAGATAATGCATCTTGGACGTAAAAACCCAAGGGCAGAGTACAGAATATTTGAGAGTCCTAACCTTAACGTCTGAGGAAAGGGATTTAGGGGTAATTATTTCAGATGACTTAAAGGTAGGCAGACAATGTAATAGAGCAGCAGGAAATGCTAGCAACCTGTGCTTGGTTGTATAGGGAGAGTTATTAGCAGTAGAAAGAGGGAAGTGCTCACGCCATTGTACAGAACAATAAGTATTGTTACCAGTACTGGACACCATATCTCCAGAAGGATATTCAGAGAAGGGTTACTAAACTGGTTCATGGATTGCAGGATAAAATTTACATGGAAAGGTTAAAGGGTCTTGGAGGAAAGACAAAACAGGGGGGGATATGATAGAAACATTTAAATACATAAAGGAAATTAACACAGTAAGGGAGGAGACTATGTTTAAAAGAAGAAAAACTACCACAACAAGAGGACATAGTCTTAAATTAGGTGAGCAAAGGTTTAAAAATAATATCAGGAAGTATTACTTTGCTGAGAGGGTAGTGGATGCATGGGATAGCCTTCCAGTTGAAGTGGTAGAGGTTAACACATTGTAGCAGTTAAAGCATGCGTGGGACAGGCATAAGGCTATCCTAGCTATAAGTTAAGGCCAGGGACTAATGAAAGTATTTAAAAAATTGGGCAGACTAGATGGGCCAAATGGTTCTTCTGTGCCGGCACATTCCATGTTTCTATGTTTCTGGAAATTTTCGATGTGTGATTTTGAGCCTCTCGGTTTTTACTTTAATCTTGTATTTACAGGATAAATAGGTAGGTAGATTCTTAGGGTATATGAGAAGATGCTCAGTATATCAAAGTGAATGTGACATATTCTAAAGATCTCATAATAGATGGACAGATTTTCATGGTCCCAGGGAAGATTGTGGTTGGCCCTTTCTTAGGATAAGCCTAAAGCAAAAGTACCCCTTCCACATCAAATATATAAATTTCAGTCTTATTTGGATACATTTAATGGCTGAGAGATTTGTTTGAGGCTTTCAGCCAATCAACTCTGTTGATAGACAGGCAGAATTGATGTCACAAATGTGGCAGTAAGAACGTACCCAGCTAAATGTCAACAGTTAAAAAAAATCCTTATTTTTAACTTAGGATTGCGTCAGGGACTCAGGGCACCATAACCACTAGAGTCGACTTTAATAAAAGTTTTTCTAATAGAATAGTGACATTAAAGTCTAAAAAAGTGGAGCAATCACTATGGACACTGATGAAATGTTCCGTCTAAATCGATTAGTTTCTATGGTAATTGCTGTTCTTTTAGAACTTTTTCCAATTTTTCTATTAGATACACTTTTAATAAATCCCCTGTGTCTCTTTCACTATCTCTCTTATACTCTGCTAGATATTGTCTTCTGTTCTCTCTCACTGTCTGATCCTCACAGTCAGTCTCTTTCCATCTGTGAAATGTCTTCATCACCTGTCACTGAATGTATTTGGTGTCAGTGCCTTAACTCTTTTTACCTCTTTCTCTTCTTGTCTCTACTTGTCTGTCTCTCTCTCTTTCTACTCTCATCCTGTCACTCAGTGTCACCGTATTCATAATATGTCAATATCTCTAAGTTTTCTCAGCTTCTTATTTTATTAT